TTTTTTTTTTTTTTTTTTTTTTTACCTTGTTGAGATTTTTCAAAGTTTATGTCATATTGTATGTTAAATTTGAGCAGTCAGCTTTGCACAGTACAATAAGGCAAGTGTATTGGTGGTGTTTGTACCATTAACCTTGGTAATGTGGATTTTGCCTTAAACTACCACTGCTGTTGGATACTGCTTCTCTTTTCAAAATACTTAGATCTTTATAGCTGCATTGAACTACAAAGTTGGTTCTCCCTGGAATGTTTGAATGAGAAAAAATTAGCAAAGTGATTATTAGCCTTTTACAAGCATGGCACAAACTTATGGTGCATATAAAGCCGATCAAATTCTACACACACTATTAAACAACAAAAGATACATTGTCACAACAAATACATTTTTCAGAGATAGAGCAAGTGATGGAGAAGAGAATAATAAACCTTTGCCACCCTTGCCCAAAAAACGGCCTGTAAAACGGAAGAAGCTGAAACAAGTCCCAGACAATGCACTGCACACATCTGCTGGCGAGGAAGCCAATACAGCTCCGTCAACTACACCAGAGAAAACACGTGTAAGGAAGCATAAGAAGTCTAAAACATTACCGGAGGGTGCTCTTGAAGGCTTTTTCAAGGCTAGAGCAAGTGCTAGCAAACAGACTAATGAAGCTTTGTCGACCACTTCAGACAAACAACCTGTAAAGAGGAAGAAGTTCAAAACTTTACCAGAGGGTGCACTGCAAACCTTTTTCAAGGCTAGAGCAAGTGCTGCCGAGGAGACTAATGAATCTTTTTCAACTTCAACAAAGAAACAACGGAAAAAGTCGAAACAAGTATCAGAGGATAGACTGCAATCGAAGCGGGGGAAGTACAAGGCATATAGTTTGGCAGAAAAGCAGGAGCTTATTGAGTTGGTAGCCATGTATGGTACCTGCAACATTGCCAGAACTGTGAATATTCCACGGTCAACTATCTGCACTTGGAAGAAGGATCTTGCCGAAGAGGGTGTGGTCAGAAGGAGCAACGGGAGGAGAATAGGTGGTGGTAGGGCCTGCATTCTGGGAAAGGAGACGGAGGAAAAACTTGGCAACTGGTGTTTGGAGCAGATGGACCGGCAGACCCCAATCTCTTTGGAAGCAATCTGCAATCAAGCACTTAAACTTGCTGCAGAAAGAGACATTGACTTCAAAGCTTCAAGGGGTTGGGTCAGAAGGTTTTTGTTCAGACGGGGCCTGTCACTCAAGAAAAAAAACACCAGCCAGACAGCACCTACTTGTACCTAGGCATCCTATCGGCACTTCAGGCCACCAATGGCTAAGAACCTACCATAATAAGGCAGAAAACTCTTTTAAATAGATGAACATGGATGCAATCAAGTTTAGCAATTGAGGTAGTTTATGATAAGAAACCTAAGCCAAGACTAGTTAAAAATTCATTTATTAAATGTTAAGGAAAAACAAAAAAAAAAGTTTTGTTCAAAAGTAATTCTATATTTTTAGATCATGATTTCCTCCAACAGGAAGAAGAAATTAGTAGCTACCTCAATAACTGCATTGTATTATGTCAGAATCCATGACACCATTTCTACAGGAAAGGAATATAATAAGTCTGTTAGTGACTCCCTTGCTGACTTTTTTCAAAGACGGAGGTTAAAGATGGAGGTGCACATTAATTGTACTCCACATTATATTACAAAGATCTACAAGGATAGTGCAACTGGGATTACATCATTACATGGTATCACTGAAAATGGGAGAAGATTGTACTTTGTTTAAAAAACGCTAAAAAACGTCACAATTCTTATACATGCTTTATGAGTTCATGTCACATTTGTATTATTTTTAGCAGGTCAATTAAGAATTCGCTTGTCTCGTCCTCTCAGTAGTAGCTGCTATGGTCTGATTAAGTACATTCTCCTAAACGTGAAATAATCATCAATATTTTTAATCCATCATTCTTCGTCATCATCATAATCGCAATAAACGTTTTACCAACTATATTACAACTATTGTATCTTTCCATGTAAGAATTCTAAAGCTACGTATGTAACCTTGTCGTAAAATAAACTATTCCCGGTGTTCAGTTCCCACAGGTGAAATGTCTAAACTTTTCCTTCTTCCTCTCCATACATGTATAAGCCCAACCTTTTTTTCGACTGTCAGCTTGCCTTTCATGTCTCACCTTTCTTTTTAATTAATTTTTCATGTTGTGATACAAGAACGACATGGTGTTCATAGTATTTCATTCAGTAACTTCATTCAGTATTCGCTAAAATACTTAAGTAACGGAAGTTTTGAGAATAACATCCCTTAACGATATTTTTTTTTACACGTTATTAATACTAACAAAAATTAGACTGCGCTAAAGAGGTATTACGAAATGCACGGTTATTTTACTGACATTTTGCCCTCAACCTCGAGTGTATTTTTCACAACGTCTGGTAACGAAGGATTTGCCGTGTTTCGTGTCAAACATTTGACTGTGCCTTGTCACCATATCCTCCAGATGTAACTGAACTGAAGATTTATTAATGACTAAAATGTTACAAAAACGTCAAACTAAAAAAAAGACGTCAAACTAAAAATTTTTTTTTTTCAATTTTAAAAGCCGGACGACACCGCGGAAATAGTAAGTAAGTAAGTAAAAGTTTACTTGGACAAAAAATTATTTTGCTCGCTTAATGAAATACAAAAAAAATGTTGAATGGATTTACATATAAAGAGGCAGTGATAGCGTTCTAGACACGCTTTGTTCAGGGCTGTTTTCATCAAATTCCTGATTTGCACGTGGATAGGCAAAAAATAGGTTAACACGATTTACCTGGGTGTTACCTGCAGCGACATTAAAAAGTGGGTCGCGATATTTGTTTTCTGATCAATATAGACTTCTCACAACAAGTGCATTTTAGAACAATCACACATACTATTAAGTATGGCTGGAATGTCCAGTAAAAAGAGATGTAAAGGAAGCCTCGATACCCAAGAACAAGATCGAGATGCAACTGAAGATTTCCGTGACTACATGGCTGATGTCGTCTCTAAGGGACATACTTGCTTGTCCATCGCGCTCGGACACGAACTTCGTCTCTTTGATGTTCTGGGGGATTTTGACGAATCAAAGTCATGCAGAGTCATAGCTGAGACCGCCGGGTGTAAAGAGGGGTAATATTATAGATATAAACATACATGTATATGTAACAGCCAGTGGATGGTTTCAATACCAGTGGGCCTACCAGGGCCATACATTATTGAAGATAGATATAAGGTCGCGTCATCAATATATAGGCCTATATAACCTTGTGAATAACCTTGAACCCATTTCCGTATATGCGGCCCAAGGAGGCCATTTTCAGAAATTAAAATGACAAAAAATGCAATGATCATGCGTTCATTGGAACAAAAGTATGAACGCAAAAATTTTCATTCATCGTGTTGGTATCTGCTTATCTTGGAGCGGAATCATTTTAGGCCCACTCATATTTTGCCGGGAAATTTGAACAATACATGCATGTATGTATACTTTCCGTGCGTTGTTCAGACCAGAAACATGTTTAGATTATTAACAGATTTATTTTACCGACAAGATTGGTCTTTGGGATGTGATGCTGACTGAGTCTACTTGTCTAGATTATTTATTTAGGCGACAAAGTCATTTTGAACAACAGGCAAATACAAAAAAGTAACAGCGATAAAACTTTCTACAGTTAAATTATGTCTGTAATATCCTGTTCAGAAAATTGTTGGTCTCAGATAGGAAAAATGATTTAAACTAAAGTTAAACTTGATTATCAACACGCGTGCGAGTGCACAAACAAACACACACACCATCATTATGAAATTCCACCGCTTTGCCTTTGTTTTATAGGTATATCAAAGCATGGTTGAGGACAATGGTGTCAGGTAAAATAGTGGAGGTAGTAGAAAATGAGAAAGGAGAAACACTATTCTTTTTACCCAAAGATCGTCTGTCCTCTCTGACGTCAACAGAAAACAACCTGGCTTGTCTCACGAGGCAGGTGCCCATCTACAGCACTGTGTATCCAGATGTGGTGAGATGTGTGAAAAAAGATGGACCAAATGGCAAGTAACCGGACTGCTGTCTTACACTTGCTCACTAAGAAAAGAAAACGTTTAAAGTCTTATATTATAGTTTTGAACACATTGAGAATTGATAATAAAAGGCAAACTAGTGCATTCGATCCGTCAAAGGTGCTAGGAAATGCCCTGTGCTAGGAAATGCCCTTTTATTTACTTTTTCTCTTTTTTTTCTTCATTAGCACAATTAAGTTCTTCAATAGCACAATTAAGTTGGAATTTCATTTATAAAAAAAGAAACGAATACTGTGTGTTTTGTATATTACAGGAGTGGACTATGAGAGGTTTGCCGCTCTTGATGTTTACTGGGAAGAAACAAACAAGATGATGCACAATTCAAGAAAACATCTCAGTTTTATTCTAAATCAAATTCCTGGGCTCATCACACAGCTAGGTAATGGTTCATGTATGGTAGGAATAAGGGAGAATTTAGCTAAATCACTCTTAGGTAACGGTGTTTAGTTATAAGATAACAAATGCGTGTATAATGTAATATAGAACTAACTGCGCGAATCTTTTATGATCAATGAAATTTATTCTCCCTCAAGTTCTGTTTTAAGAAATAAAACTCGATATTATACCTGTTCATAACGTAAAGAGATAATTTATTATTATCATTATTTTTATTTTTATTATTATTTTTAAACAGAAAATGGAACCACGGTTTGTGATGTTGGCTGCGGTCCCGGCCACAGAGCCAACCTTATTGCTGGAATGTTTCCGAACACAAAAGTTACAGGGATAGACATTTCTGAAGAGACAGTAGCCATTGCTAAGACCAAAGCTGATGAACTTATGTTGCCCAATGTCACTTTTATGTCTGCTGACGGAACATCTCTTCCCGAAAATTGGGCGGAGACATTTGGTTACGTCACAATGTCAGATGTCATCCATCACGTAAAAAATCAGGAGAAAATGTTAGCAGAAGTCCATCGAATCCTTACACCAGGCGGCGTTTTCTCCCTGTTTGATTTCGACGTTCATGAGCGTTTGGCTGACAACTACGGCAAGCCGTCCGCTTCAGTGATGTACGCCTTTAATTTGTTATATGACTTGCCAGCTAGTTTGGGGGACGACGGGGAGTCGGGCGAAGGGCACGGTCACCATGGAGAGGTCTTTGCTCATGGCCACGCGCCCGATGACGGTCACAGTGGCGATGACAAGAAGCCTGAGACTGTCCTTGAAGGTCATTCTCTTGAAGAGGTCTGCGAGGGATTTGAGAAACCAATGAACATCCTTAGAAAAGTTGGATTTGAGATTGAAATCAAGCAAATAGCAGAAACGCTTGAGTGTCATATTATCGCCACCAAGAAGAAATGAAATTGTTGTTGAATTACCATGAACCCGCCGACACTGACCTTATAGTGCATCTAAGTATTTTTAAAATTTTTATGTGATTCTCATTATTCCACAATAGAGGATTTCCACTATTTTTACGATGTAGCTACTTTTGGTCCATGAGAACGCGAGATACAGCGGTTTAGCAGACGTAGTCTACAAGTAAATAAAATATTTTATCAAGTAATTTTAAGTGACATATTTACATAGAAACATATGGAACACATCTTTGTCAAACGTCATATCTATCAATTTAGACGAATTCATTGTTTAAAAAGGTAATAAATCCTAAGCTTAAAATGTACACAATTTACTCTGTTTTATGTTGTTTTAAAACATATTTAAATATGAAAAAAAGATAATGATATTCAAATCGCAGAGTGTAATTAAAATGAGCCCAGTGAATGCATTTTCGTTTAACTTAGTGGTATAAAGCAACTAATTGTTGAGCAACAAAACAATGTAAATTAGCTTTCGAAGCGAATGAAATGGCAGTGTTGATTGCGTCATTAGAGACGGCACGGAGCCGATTGCACAACATTGCTAACGTACTTTTCTAGCGAGCTTAGCTGAAGTGTTCTTTCACATATGTAGAAACCTGAAAGAAACCTAAAGAATTCGAAAGGGTTAAGATGATGCAATAAAATTCGATATTCCAGATCATAAATACTGGTATGCGTGGAAATTGCCATGGAAACGACTCCAAATAGTCCAAAATCAGTTAGAAAATCAACAAGGATCAAGTTCTGACAGATCACTTACGTAAATGCATTTGTTTGTATCACAATTAGGAAATAGGAAATGAGTCGGATCACGCAAGCAATGAAAAAAGGAATCACCTATTTAACAACTGCAATAAACAATAATACGCCGTGAATGTCATTTCTGACGTAATTCCCTTTTCCGCATTCAATGTATTTATAACATAAGTATGAAGGTTTTATAAAAGCTGTAGGATCTGGGTTTTTTTTTAAAGACTTTTTTCCTCTATTGGACATTTGCCATCATACCAGCCTACGTTTTTTTTTTACTATGTTCTTATCATTGTAAAACACTTCTTCATCCATTTTAAAGGGCCTTAAGTTCACGCTGACCCTACACAAAACAACCACAATATTCCATAACAAAGTGTTTGCCTCTATAATTACCTTGGCTATAATAAAATAACGTGTTGTAAATGCTGCGGTTTTCTTTGACATGATCGATTGGCTATGTTGACTGGCGTCAGGCGCTATTTCCTCAGAGACGGAAAGATGAACACCTACCTGTTGCGCAAAAATATCCGGATGCAAACCAACTAAAACGACGAATTGGAAGAGGATTGCCATTTAACTACGTCCCAAGCAAGGTGCAGGTACGTACAAGTGGAAGCCTGCGAATAACATTTATTACGGTCTGTAAGTTTGTTTCTATTTACGAGTTTTCAGGTTTGGGACTTTAATTTTAATTTGATTGCAACATGTCTAAATGGGATATCCAAGCTTAGATGAGATATTTGAAATCGCAAAACTTACATTTGTATCAGCCGGAATCATGAAAAAAAGAAGTGTTTACAAGATTTTCTGCATACAGTGTATATGACATACATGTATGAATTAGGTATACATGTGTATTACTCTGTTTAGAAATAATTTGTTATATTTTATCGTTAGCCTATAACGGGATTGGTTATATTTTGCAAAGCGTAAAATATCATGTATTTTATGTACATCATGACACCAAATTCTTGGATCATGCTGTACATTAGACCAACAACTTCCTCTCGGTATATTTTGCGATGGAAATTGTTTTGGTTGTCTGGTGTCTGGTGATTTATACTAAACTTATTTAAAAAAAAAAGAAAAACAATAATTTGAACTTATTTTTGTCTTTAAAGTATGTATTGCTCAGTCGATTCCGCCTTACTTCTACACCATTCATCTGTTAATTGTTTTCATCTTTTGCATCTTTATAATTATAAAGGAATCTTTAGACTGAAGAGGGAATTGCATTTGGTGCGCAATCGTACGCATCCCTCTCTTGCTTAGAAAGAGTTTTTAACCTCAGTTTCCTGAATGACAGGCAACAGCCGAACTTTAGAAAGAATAATTTGGAAAAAAAATAAAGCCCATTCGAAACGCCCCCTTAGTAGAATATCTTTTTAATCAGTAGTTAAACAGAAAGTAAGACTTGCAGTATCCGGGGGAGGGGGGCGTCTCAAAAGTTTCCGTAAATATATATTTGTTATATTGTCTACATATAGATGTTCTTAAAAACGTCGGTAAGTGGTGGAGGCTCCAATTTGTGAGAAACCAGTAAAACATAAAGCCGCAGTCAAAAACGTCATAAAACGATAAAACGATATATTATCGAGTCACACCTAGCTACTGACACGAAAAAACTAATTTAGAATGGTTTAAGTATTTCTCCGCACTCATTACAGGAGGCTTCTGCTTACATCTACATACATATAGATCGCATCTTGGCTATTTAGTTATATGCGTTAAAAGACTACGGCATATGACGAAATAAACTTTTTTTACATATAATGACCGACAAAAATGAATGAAAAATATGGCCCAATAATAGACACAATTACGCTTATCTAAAATTTATCAAAGATTACTCTGAAATAAGCAAAGCAGCAAATGCAACTGACACATTTTTCAGAGTTTTTTTCACACAATAAGGGGGTCTACCCTCTTCCAGTGTCACAGATGGATTTTTCACTAGATATTCACAGATATGTCTCAGGCTAATTCTTAACACGGTTCTTTGCTTGTGCTGGAGAGAAATGCACAAAATGAATCTGTAGCCCTGGTAGAGGGTAAAAGGGGTGTATAGGTGAGGGTTTTGATGAAGAACTTTGATTGGCAGAAACTGCATGATCTTTTGAAATTGCCCCTGATGAATGCACAGCTTTACTTTGGTGCATTTTAGGCGTAATCATAAGCTGGTTTTTCCTAGCCTAAAAAAAGGAAACTTTCTGATAATCTGAAATCATATCCTGGAACATAATGTCTTGGTGAACAGGAATGCGGACCTAAAATAAATAGACTCACTACATTAACATTTTATGTCCCTCTTTCTGTGGAAAAAAAAATACCCGAATTATCATTGCGCTTAATATTGCGAAAGCGGGATCTTTGGCGGTGGTCCTCTGTATTTTGACAGTGTCTTCATGAATATTCAATTAGGCTTTAAAAAACCACTATTTGTTTGGGAATTATATATTAATACAGTTTTTTTTCAGGTCTATTCAATGGCGAATGTTATTACTCAACCTTCTTCATTGTTAACTTCTAAATCATATCATTTTTTAATCAGAAGGACCTTACAATAAATGCGGCCGTCAAACATCATGCTGGTATTTTTCCTTTATTCGTACTTTCGAGTGTTTGAGTCGATGTAGAACGAGGACAAATAAATAATGATGTTTTATTTATTCTAGTTTTTTTTATTATTATTTTTCTATTTATTAATAATTATTATTATCATTTATTTTTTTGAACGAGTTGAAGCTGCCAAAAACCGGGAGGGGAAATAAATGCAAATGATGATAATAATAAATTTGCTTATTGGGATTTTTTTCTTTCTGGAATTTCCTTTTCATTCTGTCAAGATGGCGAATATTTAACTTCGCATCCCGTGAGAGAGCTGGGAACACATGAAAAAGTCTCAATCGATTATTTGCACATTTGCATTCTATTGTTATTGGCGGTTTATCACCGGAGTAGAACTTAAATAAAGAAAGTAATTTTCTTTATTAAAAAAGTTCCAATATAAAATAATCTGATCTGGTAAATAAAGTAGAAACAAAACAAAACAATAGTTATATTCAATAATGAGATTGTTCATTATTAAAAATATAGATAATATCTTGCGAGACAGTTGAATTGTATTTAGCTTCGGTTTACAATTTCCAATGAAGTAGGCCTAATTATCTTTGATTTCCCTTTCCGTTTAGGTTGTTTCCTTACTGAATTTGTTAAATGGAAAATCGTTTAGTCCTTATTCTGATCCCATTCCCTAATATGGTCACTCACAGATGTACACTGATATGTCTGTTGTCTTATTTGCTGTCTGTGAACAGTCATTTTGTGTAGGAGGGTGTCTCCGCTGTACTCTATGTAGTTTTCACCTCACTCATTGCAAGTTACTACATATATTTTATTTGCGCTAGTGCAGATGAAGGGGTACTTTATTTGGAATCTCCGTCCATTTTTTAAATGTTACGTGTTTACCCTCTTCAGTAAGTGAGCAGGTACCATATCTGCTGTTTGTTTTTACTAATATTGTTGAAGCGTCTACATTTGTGCTTGAATTGTTTTTAAATTTTGCTTTTGTTAAGATTTGCTGAAGTGATGGGCTTTGCCTCTTACTCTTTATGATCTGCATTTGAGTTGATATATCATTTATTTTGTCATCTTGTCTTATCAAAGGTAAGTTTGAATAATACCTCTGGGTTTCTTTTGTTGTTTGTCGATACAAATGGTATGGCATCCTTCATTATTTTATCTTTGATGATCTCCAATCTCACTTTTTTGTGCGGCTTTTTCAATGTCAGTTTGTATCAGTTTTCTTGGGTATAGTCTCTTTAGGAAAAATCGCTCTATCTATCTATCTATCTATCTTTCTATCTATCGATCGATCTATAACGATTGAAAAAATAATTGAAACAAAAACGAAATAATTGAAAAATAATTGTTTAGTTGGCCCTTGGACATAAAATAATTTTTATGTCCAAGGTTGGCCTCATTGTTTAGTTGGCCTCTTTGCAACCCCCACTAATGAAAATATGTGCACCATTTGTTTGGATATTTATTAATTGTGCTATAACATTATATAATTACTCAACATTATTAAATGATACATAATAACTGTAAACCATTTCTTTTATTAGAGGGACCTTTCAATAAAAGCGGCCGTCACCGGCCAAATTTTGAACGCCATACTTGTGTTTGTCCTTTACTTATGCTTTCGTTCGTGTTAATGAGGAGACATAAATATATATGTATCCCAACGATGATCATTGTTTCTCTTTTTGATCTAGTACATATCGCCTCGAGTTGACCGGGGTCCGAGCATTTACCCTTTAAATTCTTCCGCCTTCTTGGAAGGATCATTTTCTAAGAACGAGCAGGTGATCAGGTGATACGTGCCTATGTTGTTTGTACATACCAGAAGACGAAAGCCCCATCCACTCTGTTTCTTTTTTCATGTATGAATAGTTGCTATAACAAAAGCTCTATGTCTGGAATGTACATATTTGTATATGCTGTACATAGGTATAGATATTCAGTGGATCCTCTTGCCCGGATCTCA